ATTTGAATTATTAGAATACCACGACCGGTTTCGACGGAATTGGCTGAAAAGCCTCACCGTCTCATCAGGTGGTTTAAATCTGCATAAATAACAAAGATAATTAATTCAGAATCAAATTGAAAAGTCAAAAGACTTCCAATATTAACTCCAAAACTAAATTCTTTATTATCCGAAGTAGATATTCCAAAGATTGTTTAGGAGGAAATGAATCTGGTTGAATCATTACCTTGAGTTTTTGATATCTGTTGAATTGATCACTCTTTGGTTGTTGCATTGATGTGTTTGCTGCTTTCATTGAAACAAAGGTTGAAAAGTATCGGAATGGCTTAGTTTCTTTGCTAGTGTTATCAAATAAATTGGAATTCTTCGATGTTATGGGTAATATAGTGGATGGATGGAGAATGATATGTTTGAGAGCTAAAGATAATCGAAAAGAGGTTTTAATAAATGGTTTACAAGAAAAGGATATTACTCACTTTTGGATGGAAGTATAAATGAATACATTATTGAGAACGTTGTTGGTTTATATAGTCGGTAAGAATAAGCGGACTCTGGTCTCTTATGTTGAGGAATGTATGTGGGAAAGATTTTTTCCCATTGATTTAAATGAAAGAATGCTGAAAATTGGTATTTTAGATCGACGTGTATAAGAAGTATTCATTGTATCACAGTCCATAGATACGTGAGAATGAGAAAAGAATTTTAAAAGGAGGTGGTTGAAAACTATGCCCTTACAACGTGCCGTTATTCAATATGAGATGAAACTATCATTTTTCAAAGAAGGAATGTGAAGACGGACTAAAGTTTAGTGCAAATACCTATTATAAAAACCATGAGAGAAATATTCGAAGAAATAGAATACCAAGACGTGTTGCAATGGAATTTCACCATCCGCGAAGTGTATGGAAGAACATTTTGTGGCATCTCTGTCATTAAAGTAGGTTGTGAGCTCGAAATAGAATATATCGAATTAAAAATGAAGAGAATTTGCTCGGTACTGATGAGGCTGGCGAAATGTACTGCGAAAAGCTAGAGTTGTTGATTGCTGAAGAATTCAAGCATTTGTCGATAATGAGGGTTTTTTCAGTGGAACAAGCTGAACATTGACGTAAGTTCTTTGGTATATACACACAATATGAGGGTGATTGCTTGTGATTCGAGTGCTGAGTTATACTCTTGTCGTGTAAATATTCGACGGTTGACTGGATAATAATAATCCCAGAAGCGGAGTATGATGAAATTGAAAGAAAATGATTTATCTGAAAAATAGATAAGAAGAGACAATAAAATATTGCTTTTTATTTTGAAATGGATGTAAAAAAAAAGTTTCATGAATGTTATCATTCATAATAATGAATTGGATAAAAGATATGGATGAAAACAAAGTAGATATGTATGTTACCATGTATTGCAAAATTGAACGAATTGAAGTTTTGATATTAAAAGAGTTATATTCCGTAGTGTTTTCCGAGAAAGGACGGTTTTTCATAAAATAAGTTACTATCGAAAGCATTGGTTGAACTTTATTTCTAGAATGAAGTATCTGTGTTATTAATATCGGTTAGCATAGATTTCGGTGGCCTTTTCTTCACTAAGAAGCACTGAAGAGATTTATTAGATCTTGTACCAATTCTCAATGCCACATTGTGCGCTGGCGAACCGGGATATACATAATAATGTCTCCATAATTGATGTAATTTTTGTCCAAATCCTTCCATGGGACCGCTTGAGTACGGAAAATGAACATGAATTTCTTTATTATTCCACTTTTGCCGTCTGTATTTAGTTTGATTTGATGATAATTCACTTCGGTCTAAATTCGGTTGTTGGTTTCCTTGCCGTTCTCTTTCATGTCGTGTTGGCAAATTAATTTGTTCATGATGGAATTCCTGATAAATTTCGTTATCTAATTTTTCAAGCAACGTAATGACATTGTTTTGTTGAAAGAACTTTTTGATATGATATGAAATAAATTTTGGAGGATAATCGCCTAATAATAATGTTGCTTCAATACGTAATCGTTCCTCGTCGAAATCTTCCACGTGTGAACAAAGACGCACTGCTCGAAAGAGAGCAACTTTGATTATATTGCGATGAACATGACGCGGATGATCGGATAGAAACGGCAGAATGTAAGGTGCTGCTGCTGGTTTATGAAAGACAGTAGTTTTTAATTGTCCTTGATCGTTATATGCAGAGACATCAAGAAACTGAGCACTCAGTCCAATTGATCGAGTAATACGAATATTTTCATCTTTTCTGTTCACTAGATCAAGAATAATATTGATTTTATCCAAGGGAAGATTGCTGGTCATGAAAACATCATCAATGTATCTATGGAATAAACAAATAAAAGATAGAGACTTGAGAATTATTTTTCCTACCGTCCATATAGCTCATTATGAGCCTTTTGATGTTCAACTAATAGTTGTTCCCATTTTAACATATAGATGTTCGCCAAAGTCATCGTAAATGGTGATCCCATTGCTCCACCACGGACTTGTTTATAATATTTGCCTTCGAAAACAAACGAATTAGTTTCTAAAACTGCAACAGATAACTTGATAAGCGTATCAATCGTCATGCCATTGATTCGGCCATTTATTGCATGTCTTTTTAAGAATTGTTCTAGAGCTACAAGTGCCCCATTTCTCGGTATCATTGTATACAGATCAGTAACATCAAAGGTAATAAAATTTGTTTTTGGTGTGAGGAGTCCAAGATTTCGATAGAGCTCTAATCGTCGAATAAAATGAATATCATTGATAAAAGTTGTTTGTCTAGTTGCTTGGTTGAATATTGGACGGAGAACTTGATCTAAGAAATGTGATATACCTACAGACGGTGATCGTATCATTGATATAATTGGTCTTAGTGGTGTACCTATCTAAAAATATAATGTTTAGTTTAAAATCTTGTTCTCATTTAAGGTACTTTGTGTGGCTTTGGTATGAAATAAAGATGAGGCAATTCAATTGTTTCAATAGTTGGATACATTGATTGCTTCCATATATTAAGATTAATAGCTTTATTCTTCAATAACGGCTTTAGCAATGCTAAAATACGGTCAAAGTAA